TGTAAGGAGCTAAAGCTAATAGTGCGTGAAAAAACCTCAGTAATTCTCATCATAACTTAATTCATTCTTCAGTCATTTTTTATTCTTAGTTCATGCAGGGTAATGGCATTTTTGCCACCTACTATCCCAATAAAGACAGGTATTTCTGCTGTACCCATTGAAGCAGTGATCCACAAAATGCATGCAGGGAAGTGATTTACTCATAGAATGATACCCTGGAGTCTTACATGAGTTCACTTCATGTATTGTTCTGTTATGCACATTTAGGAATAACAGCCTCTTTAGTTGTTTTTAAAAAGGTATATGGAGGGTTGACTGTGGTCCTGTGAATGTACACATTTATACTGGAGTACATCTGCTGAAAAAGGTACTGCTGACAGATTTCCCATGGGGAGTCTCACTGTTTAAGTTGCTGTATTAGGAAAACTAGAACAGCCTGTAACTAGACAGTATGGCCAAAGTGTTTTGAATTACTGGAATTTTCTAGATTCCACAATATTATGCAGTTTCACTTGACAGCTTTGTCTGCATGAAGCTAACTAAAACAATATTGAGCGAATGAAATGAAGTTGAACTCAAAAGCATTAGGTAGAGTGGAGATTTTGGTCGGGGTGTAGCAGAAAGGAAAGGCTAACAGTATGTGTGTGTGTGTGTATATATATATACACAAACGGACATATATCCTTTGAAGTACGTGTAAGTCTGCGAAAGTTTGGTATCGAAAAGCCTGATCTTTTGAAATCCAAGGTCTGTGAAACAACACTAAGGCTCCTGCAGCAAAGGTCAGCTCAGTCTGTACTCCATTAAGGACTCGGTGATTAAAGACAGAAATGGAAAATACAAGCATTTTCTTTTGCTCTGTGATTCTGTAACATGCAGAGGAAAGAATTTCTGTCAGGCAGCAAAGCACAGCCCTCCTTCCCGCAAGGGGTAATTTTCAGATGAGCATGCTTTGGATTTGTAAAAGAAAGGGAAAATGGCATAGCTTATGCTTGCAGCTGGGAGGCCTCATCTTAGTGCTAGCTCTGCCTCTTCCACTATCACAAGGGCAGAGGATGCTGTCCAAGCAGCGGTCTCAGGGGCAGAGATCAAGAGCCTGGCTCATGTGGCCAGAGTAAAGCTGAACGAGCAGCACCAGAGCAGCGCTGGTACACACAACGGACACACGGTCTTTCTGGACTGGAGCAGCAGTAGTGCTGCAAGCATTACTGGCAGTTTTGAGGACGTCTGCCAGGAGATAAAGCCAAGGGCATTGCTGTTACTGTACCTTGAACCCAAGAGGCCAGTGCATGAGATAGAGATCCAGGTAATCCAGTTTCAGGTCAGCAAGAGTCTTCTGGCAGGCTCCCTTCACCAGAGGTTTTTCATAAAATGTGCACCATAGCTAGAGACAAAAAGCCAAGGCACACCATGACCTCCTGGGTTAAAGCTCTTGGGTGCTGTCCTGCACAGGACAGAAATGCTCCATCTTCTTTGGAAGGCGATGTGGAATGAGGCCATTCTAGTGCTCTTCAGATGGGGCTAGCTCCCTGATGGGACTGGCCCGTGACACTGAATTCAGTATGTGCAGTGGCAGTACACATGATCAGATCTGTAGTAAAAACTCCTATTGCAAGGTCAGATTTGTGTAGAAGAGGGTGGCTTAGCTCAAGAAAGATTTCTGTCACATTTGACCATTTGTACATTTCCTGTAAAAAATTTAGCACGCAAAGCCAAGAAAATAAAAGACAAGCCACGAAGATGTCGTTAGCACCAACCTTTACCAAGGTAAGAAGCAGCTTCAGAATACAGCTAAATAGCCTGTTTTCCTTAGTAAGCAAAAGAAAGCGAACCCACCAACGACGCCTTCCTTGGGACTTGTGCTGAGCAGATTACGCTGTCCCAAGGTGCCAGAACCTCATCTTCCTCACATGGCAGAGACACCCTTTGGCAGGACTGCGAGCCTGCTGCTGGAACAAGCACCAGGCACTGCCGGGGTTTTCTCCTCTGCTGTGCTTTAGCAGCCAGTGAGGTGCCATGACAAAACTGGTTCTGCCTATTTACACTGAGTGGCCTCAGATCTCTGTATCACTGGTTTCTACCTTGCTTGGTGCTACCTGGCCCACTCTGCCTTTTCCTGCTTCCCTTCTTCTGCACCAGTTGGTCTGCAGATGCCCTCTCCTCATCAATCCCCCAGCACTTCAGGGTCTCCTGGGCACAGTGTCTGACCACAGCAGGGGACACACCGTATTCTTCCTAACTCTCCATCCAGAATGGGGTGAAACAGGAAGCATGTATCAGGAGTGACTTTAATGATGTTATGAATTGCTTTATCCTACAGCATAAAGTTTGTCTCCAGTACTTAAGCTTCCTACTATGAAAATACTATAGACAAAGCATCCCCCCACCCCTTCTCCAGGGTAGAAGATCATCAGATTCTTACCTTACTGACGATGAAGAGGTCTTCTCGTTTCACAACACCTTCCTTGATTTTCTGCTGAATCCCTTCCCCAACTTCACTCTCATTCTGGTACACGTAGGCACAGTCAAAGTGGCGGTACCCAGCATCGATGGCAGCCATCACTGCAGCTGTTAATTTCCCAGCTGGGGACTGAAAAGAATGCATAAATCTTAAGAATCTCAAATCAGTACCTGTTATATACCTGTATCCAGCAAAATAAAAACAGGAAAACCACCTTACTGAAAGCAATCCCCCCCTGCCCCAGGTTGTTGTTTGTTTTTTTTTTTTCATAAGAACAGTATTTCTTGCAGTCATAAACGTGGGCTCCAGGGTTTGCAGCCAGTCTCCAGCCATTTATCCATAGCTTCACTCCAACGCAGGCTCAGCCCGACAGCCACGTAGAGCAGAGCTCCAGACATGAGGACAGTTCTCCAGAGCTCTGCAATACTGCTGCTTTTCTCTGAAGCTGTTACCTTCCAGGTGCCCAGCCCCACGAGGGGCATCTTGGCCGTGGTGCTCAGCTGCACGTAGGTTGCCATGGCCCGGCACGCTGTCTGGGCAGCCTCACTGCAGGCACCCCTTGCCTGTCTGGTTTAATAGTGACTGGTCGATGGCCAGGGCAGGGGGAGATGACGGAGCAGTGCCGGTGCTCTAGGTCCTCCCATATGCAGCAAACAGGGCTGTGGCTTTTCCTCTGTAGACTCAACTCACACAAGTTAATGTGAAAGCTGAAATCAATTAAAAATCAGGGAGGTGATCACCACCCTGGGGCGTGCAGTGGTGCGCCCTGTGGACCTTTCCTCCTGGTGAAGTTCCTTATCAAAAGAGAAGGGCTGAGGGCAGCCGTGTCCCAATCCGGCTTCTGTTTGTGCAGGGGTCAGCTCCTGCAGCGCCCTGTCCCTGTGCCATGGGTT